TATGTGCCTTACCAAGCCTCCTGGTTCGAGTCACATTACAAGAATAAGTGTAGATGGACTTCGAGGCCAGGTGAATCTATCCTGCTAATATATATGTGCAAGATTATGGAAGATTAGATTTCAGTGTTACCTCGCACATCAATATCACGACAGAGCTGCTGGGCCAAGGTGGTCTTCCCCGAGCCGGTGAAACCAGTCAAGTTAAGGATCCGGTCTCCGCCATCTCTCATGAGGCTAGACTTCAAATTTGTCATCAACGGACTGTTCCATCCCACTGTAAACTCCGACGACATCGTTTCGTGATCAATCTTAAACCTTGGTTGACGAATATTATCATTGCCGGGTACAGTACTATTCCCGGGTCGGTGGGCTCGGCCTTCGATCACAGCCTCCGCCGTCACCAACATACTCCAAGTATTTATTAAACCTTGGATTTCATGGTGTGCACTCTGAAGCTTTTGCTGGTAACTTGGCGCCATCCAGCAGTTCCAGAATCCGATTATGGAGTATTTGTTCCGAGCCTTTTGGATTTTCCTCCTGATCACCTGCAAAGCCTTTATGTCCTGGGCTGACGATTCCGACGTCGTCGTGCTGAGGAGTTGTTCAATTCTTTCAAGCTTTGGGCCTACTAGATCCACTGTGTTGTTGAAACTCTCGGCTGTGCTTCCATGATTCAGACCCCTGTTAATTATATCCGCAGCCTCCCTTCCTAACTCCAAAACCAGCGACACGGGATCCCCCATCCTCTCGATCGATCAGGCACCTCACAGCCTGGCTTTCCACCTTTCCTAAACTTCCTCAGCAATTTGTTTTTGAGGGTGGAAGACTACTCTTGGAGTCCATGTAATGAAAATTAAAGAAACTTATATTAATTATTGGTGATACAAGAACAATGTTATGAAAACCGGACCGGTCATTGAACCGGTTCAAGGTATCGGTTCACGGTTCAATGGTTGGACTGCGGTCTAAATCGAGATCAAACTGATCATAAATAAATTGATATATTTTAAATATTATATATTTAAAGTAAAAAGAAATCATATATAGTAAGAAAAATGAATATGTAAATTTCAAACAAGATAATTTATAATTTATATTATGACATCATTTTCATCCAAAATAATATAATTATTTCATAATTTATAATTTATAACATTAAAATATATACACACACACATAATTTATACATATTTCTTGCATTTTTTCATTTCACCATGCTTATTGGGTATAAATGTGTATAAATTATATTTTAAAAATATGAGTTAAAAATAAAAAATAAAAAAGTAAAATGGCTGGTTCAACTAATTTTTCACATCCGACTCAACCGGTTCATGAGCGGTTCACAAGGAAAGCAATTTTTAGGTGTAATTGGACCTATGACCGATTCCTGATTCAACTAGTCGGATCGGCTAGTCAGTCCGATTCTGATAATAGTGTAGAAGAAGACACAGAGGAGCTAGGGGACCACCCCTTCGTAAAATAAAATTTTAATATATTTATTATTATTATTATTATTATTATTATTATTATTATTATTATTTTATATATTAAAATAAAAATTATAATTTTTTGGTAATATATTTATTATTACTATAAATATTACTGATTTAATCTAGACAGTCCAATTTAATAATAAAAAATTTATACTTTTATAAATTAATTAGTTAGATGTATTTTGGATGGGCTTTATATAATATTAAATTTGGATAATTCAAATTAAATGTTAACTGTTCTGACCAAATTGTTGATAAAAGAGATTTATTAAATTTTTTGTAAAATTTTTATAAGTTCTTATTTTAATAAATATGAAATAAAAATAAATTAAAAGTTTTAAATTTAGATCATCCACATCTCATCTTCCTTAACAGGCACAAAAAATTGATCCTGGGAGAGGACCACCGGTTGTCCGGTTCGATTACATGATTAAAAAAAATGCGAATGGAATTATTTTTCATAGCCGTAAATTTCAAAGAAATGGCTGGCCATGGTGGTGTTGGGTGGGGACTATAGATAACTTTGAATATAAGAATATTGGTTGCTTTATATTTTCTTATGTTTATGGATTCTTTTGACTATTAACTTTTTTTATAGAGCATTACAAGTCATTGATGGTGAGAATATGCCAAGAAGAAAAACAAAAAGTTGTGGCTATAAATTAAGGGAACTTCTAGGTTTTAGCTATATAAATTAAATTAAGTAATTAATTCAATAAACCGACTCATGAATTATCCCTCTTGTCCTATTTATTAAAGTAGTTGGATAAGGGTTTTTGTGATTCTTTTATTAAGGCATCATATTATTTTTTTTATGAATTTTTATTTTACCTTTATTCAATATATAATATTAATGTAAGAAAATAGAATTTTTTTTAAAAAAAACATATTTAATATAAGAAAAGTAAAAAAAAATTAGTAAAGACAGAGTTAATGATTATCAATTTTAAAATTTTATTTATTTTTTAATAAAAATACTAAAAATAATTTATAAATAAAAATAAAAAAATATTATCAGCTAAAATTAATGCGAGTGAAACTTTTGTTGTTCAAATAAATAATTGAAGGTTTCAATCTCAATCTTTATATATACAGTAACTTTTTGGTGAAATCTATCTCTCTCTTTTAATATCACTGGAGAGATCTCTTCTACTGACAGAATCTTCTTCTTGGGTTATTAAAAAAAAATAGAAGAAATATTTTAAATCCCATCTCTCTTTTTTAATTCGTCAATGTTACCATCCTTTTCTGCCTATCGTGGTGTCGATACATACAAGCATGACAATGATAATTTAGTTATGGGAAGAAATTGCCACTTCAATCTTTTAGATTTTGAAACACAAATCAACCTTTAATTTAAAATAATCTAACATATAAAATTAGTTGATGACTTGACATATTGCATATGGCTAAATGAAAACAAATTGGCCTTCAAGTCAGATTGATTTTATCATTAATTTAGGTAGATGTCAAACTCAATATTCTTCACTTATGTTAGCAAATTTTAGTGGTATGTTACCTTTTATTCAAACAGTAAATTTAAAAGACTAAATATTAATGTAAAATTGAAGGGCTAAAGTTTTATCATCTATTTTTTAATATGCATTTGATAACAAATTTAAAGTAGAGTGAGTTATAATCTATAATTAAATGATAGTATTTTAACATTTTTTTTATTTATGTACGTGCTAATTTAGTTTTAAATTTTAAAATTTCAATAACAAAGGGTAAGGTTTATAAATTTTGCTTATAAAATATGTTGTTTATATTTTTAATATACACAAAATGACAAGTTATAAAATGAAATAAGTTGTTGACAAAAAGAAAATTTCTATAATAAAAAATTGTGTGAATGCAAAGAAGAATTACCTCAAATTGTGCCAAATAATATTTGAATATAAACATATAACCGTATAAAAAAATTATGTTATTTACATTTTTTTTATACAGACGAGGATGAAAAATTCTTAAATAAAATAAATGGTTATTTATATTTACAACTAATAACTTATAAACCATAATATATTGTTTAAATTTTAATTTATATGTTGGCCAAAAAAATTAATTTATGTGGGGATCACATATATAAATTGTTTATATTTTTATATGCACATGATATCATACTTTAAAATAATTTGTGTAAGATAAAACAAATTATTATCTATTTTTTATTCTACACAGGTAACATCCTATTGAAGGCAATCCTATTCGAAACATAGCCAGTCATTATATATGGGTGCCTTTTCTAGTGAGGATTAATTTTAGGGCTTTAGAAAATTTAGCCAACATTATATGATTAAAGAAAACTAATAACCCACCTTTTCCTAAATTAAGATAATGGTCATTTTCTAATTTATCTTTGATACAAAAGACAAAACTACCATTTAGCATCACAATACCCTGATTCCTCTTTTTCACACTGGTTTCGCTTTCACCCACCCGAAGATGTGGAGACGACACTGCACTCTTGGTCATAACAACGAAGAAATTGATAGTTGATAATGGAACAACTCACACCAATGGATAAACAGAGTTAGAGATTCAACTAGGAGACTACAAGAACACAAGGTAAGGCAGATTGGAAGCTACAGATTTAGGTTGAAAAATCACGAATGCAAGGTGAGGAAGTCTGAACTACAACTTCTACACAAAGCTACACTAAAGCTGTAAATCTAGGGTGAGGAAGTTCAGTTAGACTCTGTTACAAAGTCAGAGTTCAAGCAAGGGTTTCCTAAGATTTTGTTTGATCTGTTTTGAAAAAATGATTATGTATCTGTATATCAATTATAAATAAGTTTATGTCTAATTATCTGGTTATGTTAATTTATGATAGTATATCAATGATATAAAATTATATATCACTAATACATAAGTCATGTCAGTGATTTTAACTTACCAATTTGTTTATTATTGATATACAACCGTATATCAATAATATAGTATCGTAGATTAGTAATGGAGTTTTCTTTTTAATGTTAATGTCCTCTTTGTAATATCTGGGAAAAATAAAGAGGGAGAGAGAGGAAAAGCTTTGTGATGAAGATAGTGATCCAGAAAAATTAGATAAAAAATTTTAATGAAGAAAAACACTGTATAAGAGATGAATATGATGATAAAAAAAAATCAGATCCAAAAATATGATGAAGAAAATATTCAGAGATGATAAATCAAAGAGAGAGCACACACAATATGATTTTTTATGATAAAAATGAAAGATTTAATCAGCTAAAGATTAATTAAATCAAATATATTTGTTTTTATAATAAATTTATTCTGAGGATAAAAAGAAAAATATATCTAATTAATTTTATGAATGGATCATATTTTAAAATATTTAAAAACTTATCCATAAAGTAATAATTATATAAATAGTTAATTATAAGAGAACAAAATATTCAAAATGATAGAAATTTCAAATGATAAAGTATAAAGAAAATTTAAAATTATAAAAAAATATGGGAAGAAATGGATTTCAAATCCAAATCTATAAATTTTTATATATTTAAATAAAAGATTCAATCTAAATTCTCATTAATCCAAATAAACTGTTAGCAAATGGAAACTGTAGTTTTGTTATTATCACTTCTATTCCGAAATGAAAAGTACATTTACCTGTCATGAATAATCATCTCTGTCCATTTTCATGGTTATGCCATCCTCGTCATCGCCTTCAAAGTCACTCCGCAGCCAATTTAAGGTAATTCCTTTGGCCGTCTCTACCTTGAGTTCGAAGTCTATGAGACCCTTGATAACTTCCCAAATATGATATGTATATTCATCGCATGTCACTTTCTTTAAATGCTTCAATCTCATGACAGAGGCTGCAGGCAGATCACTAATTGAGCAATCTGACATATTAAAATTTGTTAGACTCCTTAACTCGCCAATATTGTCCGGTAACTTCTTAATGTTCAGGCAGAATGATATGTCAAGAAAGCTTAGGCTCTCGAGCTCTGTGATCGACTCTGGTATTTTCTCAAACTCCTCCGCGCAGTAACTAATCCTTAGTAATTTCAACTTCTTAAGCCTTCCAATTTCCTGCGGAAGTTCCGTAAACTTGGAGCAATTACTGATGCTGAGCTTCTTTAAGGTTTCAATATGGCAAATCCCATCAGGCAACTTCAGCAAATCTTTGCAATACTCAATGTTCAGCTCCACCAGGTTTGGGAACTTGATGGAACTGTTTTCAAAAGCCGTGTACACTTCACACATGTAAAGCGTTAGCTTGTGCAGGTTCTTGGATTCCCAAAGGCAAGGAACTGAAACCTGCTGCAATCTGATTCTCCTGAGCGTTTGCAGAAAAATAATCAACTCGAAGTTTTTGAATTTAGTGAACCAGCGGTGCACATGATTGATCACGATGAGAACTTTCAGTTTTTTCGTTTCCCTAATGAATCCTGGAAACGTATATTCGGTAGTCTTAAGGTTTAAAATCAGAACCTCGGCTTGGGCCGCTTGAATTACGTACCAATCTGGAGTGACCTCTTGATCTGCAAGATGGCACCAATCAAGTGTGGAAAAGAAACAGAAAGAGAAACTAAGAGAGGAGAAACAAACCTGTAAAAATGGATAATACACGAGCATCTACCCTTTGCTGCGGCTGATTTTGCTGCCACCATTCAGGAGGATCGTTCCCATTTATTTCAATAATTAGTCTTTCCCTCTCGAATGCATCCCCCTGCTCGCTGGAATATTTGTTAGCCAGCTCTCTAGGAATATTGTGCTGAGTTATGAAGTGATTCTCGTAGTAATTGTCTTCGTCGCTTCCAATTCGCCTGGTTAAGATTACGAAAGTACATGTATAAATTAATTTGTTCAAAGTCATCAGTGTGTGGGAAATAAATCGCCACGTTGATATCACTCTCACTGATCCTATATACTTTATAAAATTAAGGAACTTAAATGAAAAGGATGAAATATATACTTTAATTTTTTTTAATACTCATCTTTAATTTCATACTTTTATTACTAAATTTTCAGTACTCATTTTAACTATTTTTAGCACATTTCTTTTTGTTTTCAATTATTAACTTAGATGTTCTCAATACTTATTATCTGCAACCATAGAAGATGTCAAGATGAGTACTATTGAAAAAATTTAAAGTGACTATTGAAAAAAAAAAAAAAAACCTCAAGGCTAAAAACATTGAAGATGAGCATTAAAAATATAAAAAATGAGTATTAAAAATACAGAAGATTAGTATTAAAAAAATTCAATCAAAAAAAATTAATTCTAACAATAGGGATCGTTGTTTTTTTAATGAAATTTCATAGTTTTAAGGTCTTTAATTATAATTAATGTGTTTAGAAAATCCTTAAA